CTGGTCTTCCTAGCTTGAGGAGATTCCCTAGTAACAATTTCATCCAGAGCAGCTGTCAAAGACTGGTCTGGGCCTGGCGTTGGTGGTGCATGCCTTTAATCCCAGCACTTGGGAGGCAGAGGCAGGTGGATCTCTGTGAGTTTGAGGCCAGCCTGGTCTACAGAGCCAGTTCCAGGATAGCCTCCAAAACAATACAGAGAAACCTTGTCTTGAAAAACAAAAAACAAAAACAAACAAAAGACTGATCTGGAGACTGGGGGTCATCTGCAGCTATATAGTGAATCTGAGGCCAGCCTGAGACCCAGCCCAAAATAAAGCAAAACAAAACACTGCTCTGACTTTCAAACCAAATGGGATACTATACAAAGCAGCATTATTGTGCTGTGTTTGCAATCAAACTGCCTCTCCCTAAATTCTAAAACACTAGCCAGTTGAGTGGCCTTGAGCAAATGACCCCTTATCATCTAGGAAAAGGAAATAAGATGTCCTCTCACCAGCTGTTGAGGACTGAGATGTTAAAAAGGGATCATCTGGTCCCAGAGCTTAGCTAGCACTCAAAAGTGAACTCTGGAATCTTTTACTACTTAACTCCAGGACAGAAACCAGACAAATGTGGATGTATTTCTCATCAAGTCTCTCATTATCTAAACTTCATACATGTTACGTGAAACTCAAAAACCAAAACAATGGGGGAAACTCTGTGACCTTATGATCTGAACCTCTTATCTTAATCCAGGAAAAACATACAAACAAACTTATTTGGATAGACAAGAACATCTTCATTATTCAAAGAGAATTCATGGATCATTCTTCCCAACTGATAACTCTTTAATAGTGATTCATGTTAAAAGATTCTAAGCCATGCTTGCATATATCTGGCTTCATTTTTTTGTTGTCTTGTTCTTCCAGATAGAGTTTCTCTGTGTAGCTTTGACTGACCTGGAACTTTGTAGATCAGGATGGCCTTGCACTCACAGAGTTCTGCATGCCTCTGCTTCCCAAGTGCTGGGATCAAAGGTCTGCACCAGTATGGCCAGGTGTCTAACACTAAATACCCCCAAGCTCCTTTTTTATTTTAAAATGGGATTGCTAAATTGTTTAATTGGACTTGAACTTGCACCCTTCAACCTTGGCCTCCTGAGTTCTTGGTATTATAGATATGCAACATTGTTCTTTGCTGTATCCTTCACTTTCAATATGGATTTAGTGAAATTAAAAAAAGAGAGAGAGAGAGAGAGAACTTGGGAGTCAGGTGGTGGCAGCAGCAAACATCTTTGATCCTAGTACTAGGGAAGCAGAGGCAGGCGGATTTCTCAGTTTGAGGCCAGCTTTGGTCCACAACAGCCAGGATTACACAGAGAAATCCTGTTCTGGGAGAGAGGGGAAAGAACTTGTAAGTGCAAAGTAATTGTGATGGTTTCAAAATAGATAACTATTTCTAGATACAATATGTCTTGTAAGTTGTTTTCTTTCTAACAATCTGCTAAGTCTATCATTCTGTAATTCATTGAACAAGGCTCCCCTCCCCCAATACTAAGACAAATCTGTTTTCTACTTCACTCAGATTTTGCTCTTGTAGATTCTAAGGACAGCCCCAAAAGACCCTAATGGTAGCATCAAAACTAGGACAAAGTTGATAAACAAACCCCAGAAAGAAAAGGGAGAAAAACTAGCATTGGAAATCCCTTATTTAAGGTAGGGTGATGTAGCACATGCCTCTAATCCTGTAATGGGAATAAAAAGCAGAAAGACCTTTGGTTTAAGGCCAGCATTCATTACACAGTGAGTTTAAGGACAGCCTGTCTATATAATAAAAAGAAAAAGAAAGAAGGGACTACAAGGAGAGGGGCTCTGAACCTGTGAAGTAGGAAGGGATTCTTGGCTTGGGCAATAGAGCTCTGTTTCCTTAACATGTCCAAAGACTTAGTCAGCTATAGACATCTAAGGAAAGATTCTGCTCCCAGAGCAATAAAGAAGGTAATGGCACCAACCTTCTTCTATCAGAAAGTGGCTTGTCCTTGTGGAGCGTTGTGAAAGGAGCCAGTTGACCCAGTCGAAGTTCCCTCTGACCCCATTCTGCCCACGAGGTTTGGCGCAGGGACCCCCTAACAAGCCTGACAGCAGCTTGCATCAACATGGCACCCTGGAACTAATGATTACCACCACCTAGCAGGAAACAGAGATGTGTAGTCAGAGGGGACAAACAGTACACACCCACTCCACCTGCACTCCTGAGGAGGGAGCCACGATTTGCACTAATGTCCAGTGTCCCTCTGCACTTCAGGCCCTCCTGACTGACATCTGCAGTGCTCTCAGTCCTGACTATGGAAAACAGAAAACTTCTGTCTGGGACTAAAATCTCAAAGGCAAGCCAATAACAGCTTCTATTCAAAAATGCTGACAACACCCTAAAGTAGAAGGCGAAATGTGGGGATCAGAAGGGTGGTTTCTCCCCCTAGGATGGAATACTGGCTACCGGAGGACAACGAAAACAAGAAATGCAAATTTTAGACAGTCCCAGTGACTTGGCAGGTCGAGAAGGATCATTTTAGCCTGTTTGAGAACAGCCTGGCAAATAGTGAAACCGCATCCCAGAAAATAAATAGACCACACAAACACTAGCTACATGAAAGCATCTCCAAGTCAAAGAAAAGATCGGTGTGCACAGTTTTAGAACAAAGAGGAAAGAAAGGATAGGTCCTTACCACGTTTATGTATCATTAACACTAGATGGCATCAGATCTATCAGGACCACACTCTGTGTTTAAATAATTTGAAGAGGAATCTTTCATTTGACAATGAATGATTTGAGCAGATAGCCCATCAATATTTAACTTTGGGGACAATATCAGGCATAAAATGGTCCTCAGTCAAGGTTTCAGATCAAGAAATTCCAAACAATTAAGGAAAAAGAGGGAATGTTAATCACAAAAAATTATTTTAACCTATAATTCCAGGAACATACATCAAAATTGGTTTATTTTGCTAGGTGGTTGTGGCAGAGGCAGGCTTATCTTGAGTTTGAGGCCAACCTGGTCTACAGAGTTCCAGGACACTCAGAGAAACCCTATCTCAAAAAAAAAAAAATCCCCCCTAAACAAACAAAACCATCTGATTTATTTTAGACAATTGAGAATCACAAGCTTGACACAGACATCAATTTGGACTTGTGTTCCGGTGCTTCACAACGGTGCTAGGAGATACATCAGGAACATACACTTTTTATGAGGGCCCTGTGCATGGAAGCAGGCATTTTACCACTAAGCCACCCTCCCAACCCCTAGGAACACACATTTTTACATAAAAATGATCACCCAGGGCATAGTTTGTGAATTTGAAAAGTGGACACTAATATTTCTCTTGCATGACTACTACTGAGATTAGAGTTTATATAGTGTCAGCATGGTGTTTAACAGGTAAATGTGTCCCCAAACACGAGGAAAAGACATTTGAAAAGGGCTGTAAGGCTTTCTTCATTTACCTCAAAACTGAGGTACTTTCATTGATTGCCCAAAATTTCAACTAGGATTTAATAAGCCCCACCCAACTTCCTCTAAGGAATCCATCAAATCACTCTCAACAGCCTATTAGGGAGCTAGCCACATATTTAAACATTTCCCTTGAAAGCCAAACCTTGCTGTAAAAGGAAAAAATCAGTTCTTACCTAGAATGTCTCTAGTATTTCCCTCCGGGCTCAACAAGAGGGTTGACAGTGCACTAACTAAAGCAGCTACGGTGTGTAATAGTTTCTGTCCTACAGTTATGGAGGGCACTTACTTCCAGGCAGACAGTCAAGCTCTGCGGTACAAGGGAGGAACTCTGGACTAGAGAAAGTGTAGTATTTAGACTCTACAAACAGCCAGTTAAAGGGAGGTTGATCTGTCTGCCCATATTCACCTACACAACTCTCAGATCTGGAGTGGTTTATGAAGACACATCATCCATCAGTGCAAAGGGGAGCCTGGTGTATATCCCGCTGAATAGGACCATTTGCTCCTCTGCCTCCGATCCTTTGAGAGACTCCTATGAGTAGGTGCACCATAGTTTCAGAATGGACCCCCTTTTGACAAATAAGGTGCAGAATACCTTAGATAGGCAAGAAAAAAAAATTAAGGTTCTTGCAACAGGAGTTCCCGCAGAGCACTGCAGCTGGTCTGAGTCCTGTTGGAAGCATGTGAATCTTTACTTGGTGCTTCCCGAAAGGTTCAGGGCCTACGCAAAACTTGGTTGTGGGAGGACACAAAAAACCGAGATGTCCTGGGACTGGGACATTTGGCTTTGGCAGTTGTCTCTTTGGGGAGCTTCCGATAAGAGGCTGCGGAAATTGACCTGCTAGGGTTAAATTGTATAACAATAAAAGCCTTTTGAAAGGAGCTATAGTCAGTTCACCAGAAGCTGACTCCCCACGGCCGCCTCGTTTCTTCCACCGACCCGCGCAAACCGAACAGCCGACATAACAGGTTCTTCTTTGAAGAGCTAAGATATCTGGCCATTTTCTAATCTATCCATTGGGGGAGTGGCTCAATTAAAAAAAACACGCAAAAAGCATTTCTTAAAAGGCAGAGGAAAAGTTAGTTTCGCTTTTCCTTCCTGACTTCTCCCAGTGTCTGTGCCGGCTTCCGCTCCTCAAGTTCGTCCCTGTCGCTGGGACCGGGGAACCCACCAGCCAGGCCGGGTGACCGCAGGGCACCCGGGAGGCTGCGGTTTCCAGGGCGCTGCATGTCCGCCCCAACATGTGCTCACCACCCGGAGAGGGCAGAGAGGCCCCAGGCACAGTCGCCTTGGGGAAAAGACGCCACTGCGGCAGGGACACTTAACGACCTCCAGCGACACTTACTTCTTGCTTAGTTTCGGCTCGCCATCCACTTTTACTTCACTGTCCTGCAGCGTGGCCATCTTCTCCCACCGCCCGTCCTGGGGGGAAAAAAAAGTGACCAGCGTAGAACTAGAACTTCCAGGTCAGGGCCCGAAGTCCCGCCTCTTCCGGGGAGGAGGGCTGGCTCTCGCCGCGCAAGCGCGGTGCTGAACTCCGTCCCCTGGAGTGTCACTGCCGTAGGCGTTCTCGGCTCGCTGTCTGTGGCCGGTTGTCGTGTGGCGGAGTGACAGGTATGGCGGAGGCAATGGATCTGGGCAAAGACCCCAATGGGCCCACTCATTCCTCCACTCTGTTCGTGAGGGGAGATGGCAGCGCTATGTCGTTTTACGTGCGGCCCAGTCCGGTCAAGCGCCGGCTGTCGACGCTCATCCTGCACGGTGGCGGAACCGTGTGCCGGGTGCAGGAGCCCGGGGCCGTGCTGCTGGCCCAGCCCGGGGAGGCGCTGGCCGAAGCCTCGGGAGACTTCATCTCCACGCAGTATATCCTGGACTGCGTGGAGCGCAACGAGAGGCTGGAGCTGGAGGCATACCGGCTGGGGCTGACCGAGCAGGCTCCGGACGCCCAGCCCGGGGCTTCCACCGAGGGCTCCACGGAGCTGGAGCCGCAGCCTCTGACCGGGCGCCTCGCCTACACGGACGCGGACGACGTGGCCATCCTGACCTACGTGAAGGAAAACGCCCGCTCGCCCAACTCGGTCACAGGCAACGCCTTGTGGAAAGCGATGGAGAAGAGCTCGCTCACGCAGCACTCCTGGCAGTCTCTCAAGGACCGCTACCTCAAGCACCTGCGGGGCCAGGAGCACAAGTACCTGTTGGGAGACGCCCCGGTCAGCCCGTCCTCCCAGAAGCTCAAGCGGAAGGCGGAGCAGGACCCCGAGGCCGCCGATAGCGGAGGTGAGGCTTGCACTCCCCGGGACCTGGGGGCGGGCTGCCTGTCAATCAGCGTCCGTTTTTGTGCCCTGGCATAGCTCAGCCGCTCCTTTGTTGAGGTCCGGGAGAAAGGGCACCGTTTTCTATTATCCCTTGCTCTCTGGTTTTCATTTACCTTCTCCCTAACTTTTCCTTCCCATTGACTGGATGTTATTTGTTGATTGGTTTGGGTTTGGGAGGGCGGGGACTTTGAGGTCTCTCTGTGTTGCTCACGCTGTCCCCGAAATCTTTCTGCCTCAGCCTCCGGAGTGACTGGGACTGCCGGACAGTAACGAGTTTATAATAACGGTTCTGTGTTCAGAAGGACTGTGCCACCACCGCCCGGTGGGAAGAGGATTTCAAACAAAAGATACAGCAGGTGCAGGGGCCCTGATGCGGGAGTGTGGCTGGGCCACAGAGTGTTAAATAGCCTGGTTAGAATGACTTAAAAGATACTTCTAGTTATGAGGTTAGGACCATGTATGTGGGTGGTCATCATTTAGGACCCTCTTATTAAAAATCACTTAGCTGGGGTGGTAGTACACACCTTTAATCTCAGCACTCAGGAGGCAGAGGCAGGAGGATCTCTGATCTTGAGGCCAGCCTGGTCTACATAGGAAATTCCAGGTTAGCCAGGGCTACACAGAAATCCTGTCTTGAATAATCCCCCTTCATCCCCCCCCGCCAAAAAAAAGATGTTTGGGTTTTTTTGGGGGGGTGGTTTTTTTGAGACACGGTTTCTCTGTATTGTTTTGGAGGCTGTCCTGGAACTCGCTCTGTAGACCAGGCTGGCCTCGAACTCACAGAGATCCACCTGCCTCTGCCTCCTGAGTGCTGGGATTAAAGGCTTGAACCGCCAATGCCCGGCAATGTTTGTTTGCTGGCCCGTACGGGGGTCGAACACGGGGGGTTGTTAAAGAAAAATTGGAGCCGGGTGGTGTCGACATATACCTTTAATCCCAGCTCTCAGGAGGCAGAGCCAGGTCAGAGTGAGCTCCAGGATAGCCAGGCCTGTTACACAGAGAAGTCCTGTATTGAAAAAACCAAAATAATAAGTAAATAAATCATAGCAAGGAATCCTGGATGTTTTTAATCTATAAAATTATTTTTAAAAATCAGAATTAGTAATATCCGAAGTTGGTAATACCCGAGAAAGCAAGTGTATTTCTGTGTTGTTAATAGAAGGGACTTTATATTCTTTGCTGGATACTTTGACAGTACTTGATATTTAAAATGTTCTCTGTCTCTGTCTCTCTTTCCTGTTTTTGTTTTTGTCTTTTTTTCTCAAGACAGGGTTTTCTATGTGTAGCCCAGGCTGTCCTGGAACTTATGATGTAGGCTAGGCTGGCCTCTGCTTCCCAAATGCTGGGATTAATGGTGTGAGCCACCACCAACCGGCTAAAAAATGTTTTCTTCAACAATATTTGTGCTTTGAGGCATTTGTTCTAAACTTGGCGCATAGTGAAGTTAGTCTCCTGCTAAATGCCTTTCTCCTGGCTGCTGTCCTGGGAGTAACTGCTGTTGTCCCCTGGGGATCTTTTACTCACAGTAATACTAGCAACTAGATAACAGTTCAAGCAGAGTGTCACTATGTAGCCCTGGCTGGCCTAGAATTTGCTATATTGACCAGGCTATTCTCAGACTCAGATATATAGATGCCTCCCTGTAGGCAGACTTTTCTGTCCCACCACCTAGCTCCCAAATAACCACTCAGAGACATATTATTAATTATAAATGCTGAGCTGGTAGCTTAGGCTTGTTACTAACTAGGTCTTACAACTTAAATTAACCCGTATTTCTTATCTGTGCTCAGCATGTTATCTCCTGCTTCCTTTGCCTCTTGTTGGCGACTTCTTCCCTGTGCTCTCTTTTTGTGTGAAAGTCCTACCTAACCTCCACCTGCCTAGCTGTTGATCATTTAGATCTCTGTGAAATCAAATGAGAGCAACAAATATTCAGTGTACAAAAGATTGTTCCACAGTTCCTCCCTTAGTGCTGGGATTAAAGGTATGCATCACTGCCTCAAACTTGTTTTTTAATTAATTGAACTCTGTGTGTCTGTATATAGCTTTTCCTTATTTTTTCCCATCATTTGCATCTTATTCCTTTATGTGAATGCAGCATAATGGGTTTCCTTTTTCTCCTTCTTGGATCCGGCCCGGACTTTGTGCATATTGAACACAAGCTCTGTGCTTATGCTCCCCACCCTGTTTACTCTAGAAAAGCTAGACATTTATAGAGATAGAATAGTGTGATGAGCTACACCACATGTACTCATCATAGTTTTACTGTATTGCGTGTTTATAGTTCATGGTCACTGTTGTCATCTGTACCCTTCTTCCCAATTTACTGGGTTATGGAACAGATGTCAGACAGTTTAAAAAGCACCTTCTCATACTTATTTTATGTTTGAGTTTGACTTGTTTGTATGTCTGTGTACCATGCGCCTGGTGCCTGTGAAGATCAGAAGAGGGCATCAGATCCTAGAACTGGAGTTCCAGACAGTTGTGACCTGCTGTGTGGGTCCTGGGACTGCTGTAAGAGGAATAAATGCTCTTAACTACTGAGCCATCTCTCTAGCCCCGAAATTCAGCCATTTTTATCTTCCATATTTTATAATTATGTTTACATCAATATATGCTATTTTGTTTTATATTGTGTCATTGTAGCCATTTAAGCCCATATCTGTAAAAGATGTTTTAGTTGCTATATTGAAATTTTAGAGTAAAATTGAATTTTTGCTGTGTAATTTAGAATTTTTTAGTGTAAAGCATGTGAAATTTATCATTGAGTTGTTTTCAGTATTCAGTTTTGTGGCAGTAAGTACACTCAGCTGTATTACCACTAGCCCTCTTCAGAACACTAAACACTGAATTTTCATTATTCCCTCATCTCAGCTCTGCTATGGTACAATCTCTATATACCTCATGTGAATGGAATCACAATCTGTCCTTTTGTATCTGGCTTACATCATGTAGCACAATATATGTTGTAGCATTTGTCAGAATTTTATTTTATTGGTAGGGTCATGCAGTTCATCCCTGGCTGGCCTATGTTAGGTCTCAAACCTGGGACAAATGGCTAATGTAGATGCCTATTTAGCACATCAAAGCAGATGTTGACCTCCAGGTTCTCCCAACATCTCTCATTACCTGTTACAGAGTCATCCTGGCTGGCATCGCCCCTATCCCACTTCCTATCCTCGACCTCTCGGCCCATAGTCTGGGCTAGCTAGCCCCCCCTTCTCTGATTCTTATATAATCCATTTTGGCTATGCCGGCCTCTGGGTTCCCAGGTACTCTCTTTGCTCCCCCAGGTCCCCCCATGGCCTGGTTCAGTTTGGTCCCTTCCACATTCCCTTAGCTGTGCTCTCCCTCATATCTACAATAAACCTCCTTCTCCATACCTAGAATTATCATGTCCTCATTCACTTTATAGTCCTCCAGGGTAGCCTAATCTTCCTTCATCAGGCTCCTGAGTGTTGGGGTTGTAGGTTATTTTTGGAAGCAAGTGAGAACTATTGGGTATGCACATGTTGTGCTCTTCATACTGAATAATAAACAGGTATTTTCTAAAAGAAAAAATCTGCACGCACAGAACTGATAGAGATGGTCTGTGCAGGTGAGCCATGCTGACCTGCTGTTCTGTTCTTTACTAGAACCACAGAACAAGAGAACACCAGACTTGCCTGAAGAAGAGTGTGTGAAGGGAGAGACCAAGGAGAATGACGAGTCAGTCAAAAAACTCTTTGAGGAAGCCACTCGGGAGTTTGAAGAAGCTGTGGTATGTTAGCTCAATTTACTCATCTTTCCCTCTTGCCTCCATCCTCGTTTGGTTATGAAACTATGTTTTTCATTCACCTGAGGCCAAGAACTTAAGAGAGAAGTTCTAAGATAGAAGAGAGAGAATAGATGTGATCTGGCTTTAGGCTTCACAAAGCTTTCAGTATTTGGAGGATAGTATGAGTGGTAGAGGGGAAAAAATCACACTAAATAGGGACAATTATTATTTTTTTCTTTTGTTTTGCTTTGAGATAGGGTCTCACTACATAGCCGTTGATGACTTGTAATTTGCTATGTAGACCAGGCTACCTTGAACTGACAGACCTACTTGCCTCTGCTTCCTGAGTGCTGGGTTTAAAAGACGTGCCAAGGAATAGTTGTGTTTTAACGGTATAAAGTACTCTGCTTTGAACACTTTGATCTTAGTGTGTGCCCAGGAGCATAAAGCTAACTTTCAAAACATTTCTAGTAATTTTGTTTAAACATTTAGGTTTCCAAACGAAATTTTGTTTTGTTTTGTTTTTTCAAGACTGGGTTTCTCTGTGTAGCCTTGGCCATCCTAAAACTTGCTCTGTAGACCAGGCTGGCCTTGAACTCAGAGATCCACTTGCCTCTATCTCACGAGTGTTCAGATTAAAGGCATGTTTTTTTTTCTTTTTTCTTTTTTTTTTTTTCCGAGACAGGGTTTCTCTGTAGCTTTGGAGGCTGTCCTGGAACTCACTTTGTAGACCAGGCTGGCCTCGAACTCACAGAGATCCGCCTGCCTCTGCCTCCCGAGTGCTGGGATTAAAGGCATGCGCCACCAACGCCCGGCTCAGATTAAAGGCATGTGCCACCACTGCCTTGCTCTTTGGAAATATTTTTGTTCTTTTATATTCAGTTTGCCTTAGATTACTGTATTGGAATCCCACAATAATAGCTTTTGAGCACCAAAATAATGATGGTAACTAGTTTTTTAATCTAAATTTTATTTGTGTATTTTTTCTAGGAATGAATATCTTGTGAATTAACTTTTTAAAAACATTTAAGCCAGGTGGTGGTAGTGCTCTGTCTTGAAAAAAAACAAACAAAAAACAAATGACAAAACTCCCCCCAAAAAACAAAACAAACATTTAAAAGTTTTCTTACAACTTTATTTATTGGATAGTAAGTCTGTTTCTCCTTCCACTATGTAGCTCCTGGAGACTGAACTCAGGTGTGAGGATTGGTGGCAGGTGCTTTAACCTGCCCAACCATCTTGCTGGCCCTCAATTAACCTGGCTATTAGCACAAAAGAAAGTGGTTATGGAAAGTGCCATACAGATCTCTGTGAGTTCCAGGCTTGCCTGTCCTACATAATGAGTAGCAGGATAGCCAGAGCTACATAGTGAGACCCTGTCTTGAAAAACAAAACAAAAATAAAGACATGGTTATGGTTCATCCTTGGCTATATTATTTCTGAAGCTACCCTGGGCTCCTTTGTCTCAAATTAAAAAAAAAAAAAGGTAATAGTAAATTTAAGACCCAATGAACTACATGAAACATTGTCTCAATGCATAGCCAAAACTGCTCTGAATTTATGGGTGGCCCTTCTGTCAGGAATGCTGGGATTATAGGTACATAACACCACATCCATCTCTAAGTAAAATCAGGATCTACTATCGTACAGGTTACACATGCTCTTTCTCTCACACATACGTTCCAAATTTTAATCAGTTAAATATATAGGTATAGGTGTGTGTCCAACATACTTCTCTTCTATATATTATCCACATATATGTATGTGCACAAGTCAGCATGAGTAAAGCTGTATGAGAGGAATGGAAGGGAGCATGCCCGCGTGATGCTGTGTGAAGAGCCAGGGAATGGTATTTGGGAAGTTACACATTGTAATAGTTCAAGGCTAAATAAATATAAACTGGTCTCCCTTCTCCATCTTTATAGGTGGGTGAGAGTTCTGACTTTGAAATACATATAACCATGTGTGATGATGATCCTCCCACACCTGAGGAAGATTCTGAAACACAGCCAGATGAGGAGGAAGAGGAACCAAAGGTTTCTACACAAGAAGTGGGAACTGCCATCAAAATCATCCGGCAACTAATGGAAAAGTTTAACTTGGATCTGTCAACAGTTACACAGGCCTTCCTGAAAAACAGTGGTGAGCTGGAGGCCACTTCCTCCTTCTTAGAGTGTGGTAGGAGGTCTGATGGCTATCCAATTTGGTCCCGGCAAGATGACTTAGATTTGCAAAAGGATGATGAAGACACTAGAAATGCATTGGTCAAAAAATTTGGAGCTCAGAATGTTGCTCGGAGGATTGAATTCCGAAAGAAATAATGAACAAGATAATGAAAAAGGTGTGGCAGATGATGATATAAACATCTTGTGACCATGGAAACTGACCAGTGCTGCTGTTCTGTGAGCCCCAGATTTTGTAGCCAAGCAGTGTTATGTAGCAGGATGAAACAAAAGAAACTGGATCTAGGGTGGTCCATGGCAAGTATCTCTGTGTTTATGATAGGGAAATCAAAACCAGAGAGGCTGGTCTGTACAGTAGTGATTGTACACTGTTGTATTGTGACAGGAGCCTGGCGACAAAATCAAAGTTGGAAATGAAAGGCATGGGTCTTTCCACTCTTGATGAGTAAATGACCTTGTCTTTTGGTAGAAGTTGTTTTAGATAAAGAATCCCAAACCAGCTGGTGGCGCACGCCTCTAATCCCAGCACTCGGGAGGCAGAGGCAGGCGGATCTCTGTGAGTTCGAGGCCAGCCTGGTCTACAAAGTGAGTTCCAGGACAGTCTCCAAAGCTACCCAGAAACCCTGTCTCGAAAAAACAAAACAAAACAAAAAAAATCCCAAACCAAGAGTCTCGAAATAAGATTTAATTGCAAAGCTTATAACATGGACTGCTCTAAACCATCCTCTCTATCCTAGGGGGCTCTGATTTTTACTGTGTTGAAAAATCCCATATTCATTTTGCAAACAGTATTTGGAAACTCTGCTTCTTCCCTGGCTATTGCTTTTTGTGCTCTAGGTCAAATCGCTAGTACGTATTTGCTTACTTACCACTCAGTTTTGTGTACAATAAAACTCTAGACTAGTGGGCATGTCCAGTCTTTTGACATTATAACAGGTGTCATATACAAACTTCAGTCAAGAATCAAAGAAAAAAAACATCAAGTTACACACACACACACACACACACACCTCAGAAAAACCTCTGTGCTGTAAGTTTATGGCTCTTGTTTCTCTTTTGTAGTTATCCTCAGCCATATGCAGGCTGCTGGTTGGATGCTGTTAATTGTGATGTGTTGTTTTTAAATTTTATCAAACATAAGTTTTCTGCTGAAAATTATGCTAGACTTAAAAGTTAGTAGGTTGGTCTACTTTTGTGTTGCCTTTAGCATTCAAAATAAAATTTTGTGTTTGAGTTTTGTCTTGTTTTGTTTTTGTTTTTCAAGACAGGGTTTCTCTGTGTAGCCCTGGGTGTCCTCGAACTCACTCTGTAGACCAGGCTGGCCTCAAACTCAGAGAGATCTGCCTCTGCCTCCTGAGTGCTGGGATTAATATCAAAGGTGTGTACCACCAATGCCTGGGTTGTGTTGAGTCTTATCAACAAGTGTTTCCTTAGCTATTATACAGGAAATGGTTTAGGTAAATTTTCAATTAGAATTAATGAATCATGAAAAGATGACCCTTCTGGGTGGAGCATTAGTACTATGGAGAGTGGCAGAATTGGTTGGAATACTGGGTCAAAGGGAAGAGAACCAGAGGTGTGTGTAGCAGGGATGAGGGCCCTGTCTATTGTCTCTGTCCATTACTCATACTTGTAATGCCTTCCACCAACAGGAGTCTGTATCTGCGTGATCCTTTCTACTTGAAGCATTGTAGAGATAATGTTCTCTATGCTGGCCGTTAGACAATGTAGTATATATACACGCAGCTTGGTCTCACTCTGTTTACCACCTAGAGGTATGTTGGAATCAGCTGCACTGAAAAAAGCTTTTTTTTTTATTATTTTAAAGAGGAGCTTGTGTCTCAAATATTTCCCATATAGTAACTTACTTCTGGTAGAGTATGGTGTAAATGAACTGTTTAACCTTAACCCCCCTTCTGAGGATGTTTCAGGCATATGACATGCTTCCAGGAATATAATTCTCACTACAGTAGTGACTGTTAGGTGGCAATTAAGAGAGGTTATACGATAGAATTTGTTTAAAAAGGTGTTCTTTCTTTCTTCCTTCCTTCCTTCCTTCCTTCCTTCCTTCCTTCCTTCCTTCCTTCCTTCCTTCCTTTCGTTTCTCGAGGTAGGGTTTCTCTGGCTTTGGAGAATGTCTTGGAACTAGCTCTGTAGACCAGGTTAGTCTCGAATTCACAGAGATCCACCTGCCTCTGTCTCCTGAGTTCTGAGATTAAAGGCATACACCACCACCACCCGGGCTTACTGTCTTTTTTTTTTTTTAATTATTATATATAGTGTTTTGCCTGTATGCCTGCATGTCTACAAGCCAGAAGAGGGCACCAGATCTCATTACAGATGGTTGTGAGCCACCATGTGGTTGCTGGGAATTGAACTCAGGACCTCTCGAAGAGGAGCCAGTGCTCTTAACTGCTGAGTCAGTTCTCCAGCCCCCATATGTACTCTCTTAATAGAACTCTTAAATGGTTAAAAATTACTGCTTTAGATATGTCATTTAGGATGTCAATACCTTAGTAAAGTTGTTATCTGCTGGTTTTACAGAGCTAGAATTCCAGTCTTGTTAAATATTATACAGAGATCTAATTTGTTATACCCCGAGTCTCAAAAGACATTTAAACAGAAACACAAAGCAGTTTACAGCTTACTATATATTGCATACTACGACAGTTTATCTGGATTGTCAACTTAACTGCATCTGGCCGGGCGTTGGTGGCGCACGCCTTTAATCCCAGCACTTGGGAGGCAGAGGCAGGCGGATCTCTGTGAGTTCGAGGCCAGCCTGGTCTACAGAGCTAGTTCAGGACAGTCTCCAAAACAATACAGAGAAACCCTGTCTCGAAAAACAAAACAAAACAAAACAAAACAAAACAAAAAAAAACTTAACTGCATCTGTAATCAACTGAGAGACATGCCTCTGGGCTGGTTTGTGAGGTCTTTTCCAGGAAGGATTAATGGAAGGGAAAAGGCCTCAGAGTGGGTAGTACCTTCCCCCAAAGTGGCTAGCATATAAAGAGGTTTGCAGAGAAGACAAGCAGTGCTGCTCATTAGCCTGCCTTGGCTTCTTGCTGGTGAGTGAATCTATCCCATTGTTGCTGTTGCTGCTGCCACCTGAACTCAGCTTCTGCAGCCTTCCAAGGTGGACTGAAGACCACCAGCTCTTCAAGGAATCTTCCAGGCCTTCAGCTTCAGACAGGGACTGCTAAGAGATCCAGGTTTATGGACTGATCGTCTACAGACAGGGTGCTGGGCATTCGATTATCTAGCTAATACATTGCCTTGAATAATACACATTCATCCTCTTGGTTCTGTTCCTCTGGAGAACCCTGATTAGTACAGGTATAGTGCTGGATTTCTGCTCATGTCCTTCCTTCCTCTAGGAATATGGTGGAAACCCTCCCACCAGTAATAAGCGCCCCCTCCAGTCTTTCCCCTAAATCTGTGTTGTGTCTTTTGATGTTGCCTGTCATTTCCCCTTGTCTTAGTTTGCTAAGTGATGCCTAAGCTACTACAGATTAGATTGATTAAACAGTAGAAATTTGTTTTCTCAGTTCTGGAGGCTAGAAGTCCAGGATCAAGTTGTGAAAACTCTGATTTTTGTCTCTGAACTGTTAGATGCCCTCTAGCTTTGTCTCCTCTGGTTCTTCTTCTTCTTCTTCTTCTTCTTCTTCTTCTTCTTCTTCTTCTTCTTCTTCTTCTTCTTCTTCTTCTTCTTCTTCCTCTTCCTCTTCCTCTTCCTCTTCTCTTCTTTTTTTTTTTTTTTTTTTTTGGTTTTTCGAGACAGGGTTTCTCTGTATTGTTTTGGAGGCTGTCCTGGAACTCACTCTGTAGACCAGGCTGGCCTCGAACTCACTGAGATCCGCCTGCCTCTGCCTCCCAAGTGCTGGGATTAAAGGCGTGCGCCACCAACGCCTGGCCCTCTTCTCTTCTTCTGCTTCTGCTTCTGCTCCATCTCCTTCTTGCCAGAAGACGGCACCAGATCTCATTGCAGATGGTTTTAAGCCACATGCAGTTACTGGGAATTGAACTTGAACTCAGGACCTCTAGAAGAGCAGCCAGTGCTTTGAGCCATTTCTCCAGACTCTGGTTTCTTCTTTTAAGGACATCTGTTAGACTGGAATAGGGCCTACCTTAATGGCTTCATTTTACATTATTCACTGCTTTAAAAACAATGCAATGACATTTGGAGGCCCTAAGGGTTTTCAACAGATGAATTGGGAATGAAATGCTCTGATTTCTTCTTCTTTTTTTCTTGAGGCCATAGCATTTCTCCAAGGGCTAATTTGGGTTTAATCTGATGTTTAAATCCCCTTGATTGCTATTAGTGTCACTCCACAACCCACATGACTAGGACTGGAACTAGCCTGCCAAATTGTGGGCTTCATTCTTGACTCTTCATATCTGTGCTTCCCAGGCACCAGAGTTCCAAGGAAGCAGCCAGAAAGAATTAGTTAGGTCTCCTGGTGCGTGCGCTGGATACCTTTTGTCAACTTGACACAACCTAGACATATCTGTGACGAGGGAATCTTAATTGAGAAAATGCCTCCATCGGATTGGCCTTGTAGGCAAGTCTGTTGGACACGTTCTTGATTAATGATTGATGTGGGAGGGCCAGCCCACTGTGGGTGGTACCACCCCACTGGGCAGGTCTAGGATGGTATAAGATAGCAGGCTGAGCAAGCCACTAGGCAGCGCTCCTTTATTGTCTCTGCATCAGTTCCTGCTTCCTTTTCCTGCCCTGACCTCCTTGGATGATGGACTACAAACTGTAAACTAAAATAAACCTGCTCTTCCAAGTTGCTTTTGTTTATGGTGAGTGGGAATGGTTGTGTAGGTGAATCTGGTTACTCTGAATTCCACCACCACACCCTCCACTATTTGCATATATAAAGCAAGGTATGGGTTAGTAAGGAACATGCCCGACTGAAATCTAGCTAAACCAAAATGCTGTCTGAAGTGTACTAGTTTTCTGCTTTGGCCAGCTCTTCACTAAATACCTACTCCCCAGTGTCCCAGACGTGGGAACTGCTTGTGCAGTGACAAGACCTCCCAATTAGAGTTCGTGTAGATGACTGTTTTAGAGGAATTTTGTGGAAGGAGACTGGGAATCTGCCGTTGGGTGCCCAAGCACTAAGTCCCCCTCTGCAGTGCCCCAGGACTCTACCCCAGAGGAATCTTTGGCTGTCAACTTCTCCCACTCTCCCAGGAAGTCCTATCAACATGCACCTCAAAGCTGCCATGCTACTGTTAGGAAGCTGTTAGAAATTAGCAGGCTTGAGGAGGGTAAGATGGCTCAGTAGATAAAGGTGCTTGCTGCCAAGCCTGACGACCTGCTTTCGATCCCTGGAACCCATATGGTGGAAGGAGAGAACCAGTTTCCTAAAGTTGTCTTCTAATCACTATGAGTGCGCTGTCTCTCTCTCTCTCTCTCTCTCTCTCTCTCTCTCTCTCTGTCACACACACACACACACACACACACTAGCAGTTAAAAGCATTGGCTACTTTCTCAAGGCACTGAGATTTAATTCCAACACTCACATGGTGGTTCACAACCATCTATCTGTCCCTCCAGTTCCAGGGGATCCAGTGGGGTCTTCTGGCCTGTGCAAGCACTAGGCACACATGTGGTGCACAGACATATCATAGACATACATGTAGGCAAACACTAATACTCATAAAAAAGAAAACCTGCAGCCAGGCATTGGTAGCACATGCCTTTAATCCCAGAACTCTGGAGGCAGAGGCCAGTGGATCTCTGTGAGTTTGAGGCCAGTCTGGTCTACAGAGCAGGTTCCAGGACAGCCTCCAAAACAATACAGAGAAATCCTGTCTTGAAAAACCAAAAAAGAAAAAAAGAAAACCTTCCTGAAAAGGTATTGGCACTACAGTATCTATGGTCATTGACCACTCCTGTTGGGAGGCCCTGCAGTCACCAGGATCTGGCAGCTCTCTCTGAGCTCAGCAACATGGAGGACTCCTTGCCCCTGGGCGGGGTGGGAGGCTTCCTGCTGTCTACCTGATCTTGTCTGGAGAATGTCTGTCTCTAACCCAGATGCCTGACTTATTTCTATTGTGACCGTTGACACAGTCTCCTGCAGAAGCTTTCCCCTTGCTGCCCATGGTAATTAGATTTGTACTAGGAGTCATATGATAGGAGCATGCTGTTTAACGCACTTAGATGATGCCCTCGCCTCTGTCCCCATCACTTATAGCTCCCTTCACTCTGGAATAAA